GGGGCTTTCTTTTTTTTCTGTTTTAGCTATTTTTTTTACTTCTATTGCCTAGAAAAGAACTAGTTTTCAAATCTTATTTCAAAGACTGTGATCATGGGAGACTCAGATGGGTTATGGTACACATCAGGTCGGGCATTTCCTGGGTTACACACTTTGTACTGAGTGGTGTTATACAGGCAAGTTCCTTTTAAAATTTCTAGGCATTCATAATAACTATAAAACAGGAAGATTGTTTTAACTTGTAGCCCTACCTCAGTAACCTGATGAATACACTGGGAACAATCTTCCGTGGGGGGAAAATCAGTTGAAGTCCTTATTGTTGAAGTCCAAATTTTAAGGAGAATGAGTCCCATGACACGTTTCCTCATGCTTCGGCTTCACGTAGACCAGTCAACTTCCAGGTGTGACCGGAGCAGGGCTCATCGTCTTTTTCAGAGTCACTTTGCATGGGTTATCTGGGCCTGGTCTCGCCTCCCCAGTCTTAGGTACTAAAGGTTTTACATAACCATGGTGGATCCAGGCCGGGATTCCCTCTACCTTCATGGCAGTGGGAGTGGTCTGGTGTCCCTTCCACTATGGGCACAAGGGGGCTACGTGGCTACGTTCCAGTTCTTGATCCACACTCGATCACATGGGGAGAAAGGGTGAACTGGGGAGAATAAGCTAATGGGGCATTTCTCATTTACCCAGGCTGAGATTGTTTCTGTAATTTTTCCTAAGGCCTGTAGCTGTCGCTGTAACTTAATTTCACCTAACTCTCAGGGAGTGCCTGGAAGTCCCCATAGTTTGGGAGGAGGTCTATGATATAATATTTCATAAGAGGAATATCCTGTTTTTCTAGAAGGGGTAAATTTAATCTTAAATAATACCATAGGGAGAGCTTGTACCCATTTTAATCCTGTTTCTTGACACGCTTTCCCTAAACTATTTTTGATTGTCTGACTCATCTGCTCCACCTTTCCGGAACTCTGAGGTCGGTAGGCAGCATGCAGTATCCATGTGATCCCCAATACCTGTGCTGTTTTCTGTACCAAGTCAGCGACAAACACCAGCCCGTTATTTGAGCCGATTAGTAAGGGCAGTTCAAACCTAGGAATAAGATCTCGAAGAAGCACACGGGTTACTTCAACAGCTTTCTCAGTTCACGTTGGATAAGCCTCCACCCACCCACAAGACCTAATAAATACTTGCTATCTTCACATTTTGGCACTTCTGTGAAGTCTACTTACAGATCTTCAGCGGAAGCTGCTCCATAAGCTTGTATGCCGGGCGGGATGGTTGGATCCTGCCTTGCATTGTGGTGTTGGCAGATAATACATTGCTGTGCCACTGTTTTGGCAAGGTCTGGTAAATGAGATGTAGAAGTACTGGCCTAACAACTTTTCAAGTGACTCCTGGCCTAGATGGGTGGTTTTATGCACAGCCAGTATGACTGCAGTTCCCAGCAGCTGTGGCACAGCTACTCTCCCATCCAGTAACTGGATCCATCCTTCTTCCATCACCTGTCCTCCCTCTGCCTGGAGAAAGTCCTTTTCTTCTTTAGAATAAGTAGGTAAAAGGTAGGCCACTGGCCTTGGCCAGGGCCCCACAGTCTGGGTTAGAACTCCAACTGCCATTTTTTTCTTTTTCTGACACATACAGTGTAAAAGGCTTTGTCAGATCAGGTAGCCCCAGGCCTGGGACTGACATAAGTTTTCTTTTAACTCATGAAAGGCTCACTTGTTGTTGGGATTCCCATTCAAAAGGTTCCCGGCACCCGCCTTTGTGACCCCATATAGAGGTTTGGCCAGTACTGCAAAGTTTGGGATCCACAGTCTGCAGAACCCTAAGAATTCTCTCACCTGCCTTCTGGTTTTAGGCTGCGGTAGGCTGCAGATGACCCGCTTTCTTTCTGAGCTTGATTGACCAAGCGCAAGTCCTATACCAGCCTGTGGTCCTTGGTCCCCGGCTTGGGAAAAGGCAGGAGGGGAGTGTTCTATGGAGACTGACAAGGAACTGTAATTCCAAAGGCTCTCAGGTGCTTGAGATGGACCTGGATACCTTCAAGAGCTTCTCTGGGGGACCGGGTACTGTTTTTGCCTGACCAGCTGGGCCCCAGGCTTAACTTCTGTAAGTACAGGGGTTTGGTTGACTGCCAGCCCTGGAGGGTTATCTTCCACCCACACCTTTGACCACCACTCAGCCACAGCTGGTCTTATCTCTTAGCCTGGCTTGGTTAAGAAAAGTCTTCATTCCTCCTCCCGGGGAACCGTAAGGGCCATGATGACTCCCTTTCCAGGTAACTTTAGCTGTAAAAGAGCTGTGCTTTGTAAAAGAGATGGTGGCTCTCAGCTTGCTAAGCAAGTCCCTTCCCAGCAAGGACAAGGAGCAGTTGGGAATGTACAAGAACTGGTGAACTACTTCGTGTCCCCCTACAGTACAAGTTCAGGGCAAGCAGAAAGCTCGTTTTGCAGAGACTCCTGTGGCTTCGATTATATCAATAGTCTCTTTGGATAAGGGGGCGACCGGGCTGGTTACTACTGAATGTTCAGCACTAGTATTGACAAGAAACTCAATGTCCTTGTCCCCAACTGTCATCCTGACCATGGGCTCATTGGGGGCACCTGAGCCCGGTCCCCCTTAGTCCAGTAACCCTTCTGCCAGATTAAACAAGGCCCTTTCGTCCTTGCCTGAGACCTCTGGCTTGGAGCCATTTTGTTTCTTCTTTAACTGGGGGCACTTGTCTTTCCAGTCTTAGGTTGTAAACGAGCTGCCAAGTGAGGGGTTTCTCCTGCAGCTCCACATTCTCTCTTGTCTGCTCTGGTTGGTCTAGGGGTGTATGTGTCTGGTGGAGGCACAGGTGCTGTGGGCTCAGGAGTGGGGAGTCTCTCTTCCAAGTAAGGGCCAGGGGCATTGCTGGTGCCATTTCCTGCCATGGGTCCTCTGACATTGGGTCAGATAGAACTTTAGGAGCTGACTTCCCTCGGTGGGTGGAGCAAGATTCCTCGTGGGCTATCTGTCCCTTTGCCAGTAACAGTGCTGCTGCCTGTCCTCTCAACCACTGGCGGGGGAGTGTAAAACCAGCTGTAACCAAGTGTCTATGAACAGGAACTGATCTGGATGCCTTGGCTTCCAGGTAATCTTGTGCCATACCTTTGAAATAAGGGACCTATCCAGGCTTCCTTCTGATGGCCAATCCACCTCTAATGCTGGCCAGTCTGTCTCACACAAAGTTCTAAGTTTTCCTGGTATTATAGTAACTCCATAGTCTCCCTTAAATCCCTTTTTGAAAATTTTTTTAACATAGTTCCTAGTGGGGTGGGCTTACCTTGTGTCTGACCCATTTTTCTCTTGAGACAAGACAACACTCACACTATAAAAGGGAAAGGGTAAAGGTCACTCACTCGTCTAATTCACACTAAATCAAAATCAGAACCAAAGCCGAAGTGCCAATAAGGGCACGCCTGTTCGTCAAGCACTTCAAGCAAAGTCAAAATCAAAACCGAAAACAAAGTGCCGATAAAGGCACACCGTGGGTGATCAGGCCACACTTCCACTCAAATGGAGTGGGCAAGTTCCCAAGACTGGTCTTACCGTGTTCCAGAGGTCCAGACTCCAAGTTCCAATTCCTTCCTGGTGTTCAGCCACTGTGTTGATTCTCCATGAGGGCCTGTCATGCACTGCTCTGGTGAGGCGTTCCACTGGTGCAGTTGCCTACCCGGGACCACTCTCAGGATCCGCATCACTCAAGCTGGCCAGTGTCCCCTGCAGGGATGCTCCACAGGGCAGGCTTAAGCCGCCTAAGGGGCTGCCTCGGCTGTCTGCTGGTCACCTTGGTGATTTCCCGGTCAGGGAACCAAGAAATGTAGCAGGACGAGCCACAGACAAAACCTCTCAGACACTGGGTTAGAGAAGGAAGTGGCTTTATTTAGCTGGGAGTGTTGGCAGACTTGCATCTTAAAAACCAAGCTCCCTGAGAGAGAGAAATTCCTGCCCCTTTTAAAGACTTACAACTCTACAGAGTCCACGTGAAAGGATCGTGATTGATTGAGCAAGCATGGGGTGCATAACTGGGGCTGCATGCATCATTAACAGGACAGAGCAGAACAGAACAGAGTTTCAGAATGCTTTCTCATACAATGTCTGGCATCTATAGCTAATACAAGTGGTTAGGTCAGGAGTTGATTTTTAACTACCAAGCCTGGGGTGTGGCACCAGACTATCTGACTATTGATCTCGTTTCTGCCTTCCTCTAACTTTTGCTTCCTCTTTTGTTTTCTGAAATATGAGACAATAAGAGAGGTGGTCTCCTTCCTTAGTTTCAGCGAAAACACACATTTTTGTATCCTGCTGTTGCCTACCACTTGTTCAGTTCTAGCATCACAATTGCTTTATGAACTAGCTGGACACGGTGGCACATGCCTGTGGTTTCAACTACCGAGGAGACTGAGGCATGAGAATCATGTGAACCCAGGTGGCAGAGGTCGTAGTGAACCAAGATTGTGCCATTCAACTCCAGCCTGGGCAACAAAGAGAGACTCTGTTAAGAAAAAAAAAAAAAAAAAATTGCTGGCTGGACACAGTGGCTCACGCCTGTAATCCCAGCACTTTGGGAGGTCAAGGCGGGTGTATCACCTGAGGTTGGAAGTTTGAAACCAGCCTGACCAACAGGGAGAAACCCCATCTCTACTAAAAATACAAAATTAGCTGGGCGTGGTGGCTTATGCCTGTAATCCCAGCTACTCGGAAGGGTGAGGCAGGAGAATCACTTGAACCCCGGTTGTGAGCCAATATCACGCCATTGCACTCCAGCCTGGGCAACAAGAGCGAAACTCTGTCTCAAAAAAACTTTTTAAAAAGTTGCTTTATGGAAGAAAGTAAGTATAGAAGGAGAGAAAGGGATCTGATGACCAAAGCAGGGAATAAGTGTTTGGAGTCCACGGCATCCTGAGAACTTCTTGGGAATAGAGTCTAGGCCCCCAGTGCTGTCACTCTTACCCATCCTCCTCTACACATATGAGATGTTTCAGGACCCAGTGGCCTTTGAGGATGTGGCTGTGAACTTCACCCAGGAAGAGTGGACATTGCTGGATATTTCCCAGAAGAATCTCTTCAGGGAAGTGATGCTGGAAACTTTCAGGAACCTGACCTCTATAGGTAAGGATGACAGTTTTCCTTTCCTCAGTGCATTAGTGAACCAGTGTTTCTAGCTCATCAATGTTGCTGAGTGATTTTGAACACAGACAGGAAATACTTTGATGAATAAATAAGGCATGGCTGCAGTAAATCATGGGCATAGAATCTAATAATTTTTTCACAATTTTATATGCTTCAGGACTATTTTTCTGTGTCTGTATTTTAGGGAAAAAGTGGAAAGACCAGAACATTGAATATGAGTACAAAATCCCCAGAAGAAGCTTCAGGTAATTTGCACTTACAAGAGAAAGCACTGTCTCTCCACACAATCTTAGAATATGAGAATATGTTGAAGAGAAGTAAAACAAAGAACTAAATCCAGCATCAAATTCATTTCTTCTTAGAATATTTTCTCAAAACAGATATTTAAATGTGACTGAGGCTGAGGGCTCACTCCTGTAATCCCAATCCTTTGAGAAGTGGAGATAGGAAGATAGCTTGAGGCCAGCAGTTCAAGAACAGCCTGTGCAATATAGCGAGACCACATATCAACAATGGCCAAAAATTAGCTGGGCATTGTGGTATTCATCAGTAGTCCCAGCTACTCAGGAGGCTGAGGCAGGAGGATCACTTGAGCCAGTAAAGGCTGCAGTAAGCTATGATGATATCATAGCACTCCAGCATGGGCAACAGGACAAGTACCGGACTCAAAAGAAAAATGACATAGAGTATTTAGTAATTGTAAAATAGTTTACATGGGAATAGTATTAAGCCCCTTATGAATATTTTTTTAAACAACAGCTGTGGCTGGGTCATCTTGTAGAACATGTCCAGTCACCTTCAAACAACTCAGCCAGGGCAGAAAGCCTACACTTTGATGGACAGTGTTAAAAATGCAAGTGCAATACTTGTTGATGAATATAAAATTGCTTATAAACAAACCCTTCATAATGTACTTCTCCTGTTTTACAGGAGTCTCATAGAAGAGAAAGTCAATGAAATTAAAGAAGACAGTCATTGTGGAGAAACTTTTACCCAGGTTCCAGATGACGGGCTGAACTTCCAGGAGAAGCAAACTTCTCCTGAAGTAAAATCATGTGACAGCTTTGTGTGTGCAGAAGTTGGCATAGGTAACTCATCTTTTAATATGAACATCAGAGGTGACATTGGACACAAGGCATATGAGTATCAAGAGTATGGACCAAAGCCATATAAGTGTCAACCGAAGCCATATAAGTGTCAACAACCTAAGAATAAGAAAACCTTCAGGTATCGCCCCTCCCTTAGAACACAAGAAAGGGATCGCATTGGAGAGAAACCCTATGCTTGTAAAGAATGTGGAAAAACCTTTATTTTCCATTCAAGCATTCGAAGACACATGGTAATGCACAAAGGGGATGGACCTTATAAATGTAAATTTTGTGGGAAAGCCTTCCATTGTTTCAGTTTATGTCTTATCCATGAAAGAACACACACTGGAGAGAAACCATATGAATGTAAACAATGTAGTAAATCCTTTAGTTATTCTGCTACCCTTCAAATACATGAAAGAACTCACACTGGGGAGAAGCCCTATGAATGTAGCAAATGTGATAAGGCATTTCATAGTTCCAGTTCCTATCATAGACATGAAAGGAGTCACATGGGGGAGAAGCCTTATCAATGCAAAGAATGTGGAAAAGCATTCACGTATACCAGTTCTGTTCGTAGACATGAAAAGACCCACTATGGGAAAAAGGCGTATGAATGTAAGCAATATGGGGAAGCCTTATCCTATCTTATAAGTTTTCAAACACACAGAATGAACTCTGGAGAAAGACCTTATAAATGTAAGATATGTGAGAAAGGCTTTTATTCTGCCAAGTCATTTCAAACACATGAAAAAACTCACACTTTTCCCAAACACATGAAAAACTCACACTGGAGAGAAACGCTATAAATGCAACCAGTGTGGTAAAGCTTTCAATCTTTCCAGTTCCTTTCGATATCATGAAAGGATTCACACTGGAGAAACCCTATGAGTGTAAGGAGGTGGGAAAGCCTTCAGATCTCCGTCTCTACAGCTTCGAGTGCATGGTGGGACTTTACACTGGAGAGAAACCCTATGAATGTAAGGAATGTGGAAAAGCTCTTCAGACTCCCACACCTTCGAGTGCATGGTAGGACTCATACTGGAGAGAAACCCTATGAATGTAAGGAATGTGGGAAAACCTTCAGATATGTGGGAAGTACCTTCAAATTCATGAAAGGACAGAAAACACATAAGAATGCCTCTTGGAGAAAGACCTTATAAATGTAAGATATGTGAGAAAAGCTTTATTCCCAAGGCTTTTATTCTGCCAAGTCATTTCAAACACATGAAAAAACTCACACTGGAGAGAAACCCTACAAATGCAAGCAATGTGGTAAAGCCTTCAGATGTTGCAATTCCCTTCGATATCATGAAAGGACTCATACTGGAGAGAAACCCTATGAATGTAAGCAGTGTGGGAAAGCCTTCAGATCTGCCTCACACCTTCGAATGCATGGTAGGACTCACACTGGAGAGAAACCCTATGAGTGTAAGCAATGTGGGAAAGCCTTCAGTTGTGCCTCAAACCTTCGAAAGCATGGTAGGACTCACACTGGAGAGAAACCCTATGAGTGTAAGCAATGTGGGAAAGCCTTCAGATCTGCCTCAAACCTTCAGATGCATGAAAGAACTCACACTGGAGAGAAACCCTATGAATGTAAGGAATGTGAAAAAGCATTCTGTAAATTGTCTTCTTTTCAAAAACATGAAAGGAAGCACAGAGGAGAAAAGCCCTATGAATGTAAGCATTGTGGGAATGGATTCACATCTGCCAAGATCCTTCAAGTACATGCAAGAACACACATTGGAGAGAAACACTGTGAATGTAAGGAATGCGGAAAAGCATTCAATTATTTTTCTTCCTTGCATATACATGCAAGGACTCATATGGGAGAGAAGCCATATGAATGTAAGGGTTGTGGGAAAGCATTCAGCTAGCCTGGTTCCTTTTATGGACATGAATAGACTCACACTGGAAGGAAACACTATGAATGCAAGCAGTGTGGCAAAGCTTTCACATGTTCCAGTTCTTTTCGATACCATGAAATGACTCACACTGGGGAGAAACTCTATCAGTGTAAGCAGTGTGGGAAAGCCTTCATTTCTTTTACTTCTTTTCAACGTCATGAAAGGACTCACATGGGAGAGAAACCCTATGAGTGTATGTGATGTGGAAAAGCATTTCTTCTAGTTCCCTTCAATATCATGAAAGGACTTACACTGGAGTGAAGCCCTATGAATGTAAGCGGTGTGGGAAAGCCTTCAGATCAGCCTCGCGCCTTCAATGGCATGGAAGCATTCACACTTGGGAGAAACCCTATGAATGTAAGCAGTGTGGGAAAGCCTTCAGATCTGCCAAGATTCTTTGAATACAGATAATGAATGTAAACAACTTTATCATAACTGTATACTAACATGTTATTTTTAAATAATTAAGCTATAATAAAATATCCTATTGGTTTTATGTATTAGATCAAGCTTATAATGTTACATTGTTATTATTTGGACATTGCGAGTCAGTATTACCATGTGGATAAAATGTCAGACATCTTTTTCCTCATGGAAATTGTACTTTTTGCACCAGGGACAGTGGCCAGTGGCTCATGCCTGTAATCCCAGCACTTTGGGAGGCCGAGGCAGGCAGATCATGAGGTCAAGAGTTCGAGACCATTCTGACCAACATGGTAAAACCCTGTCTCTACTAAAAATACAAAATTAGCTGGGTGTGGTGGCACACACCTGTAGTCCCAGCTACTTGGGAGGCTGAGGCAGGAGAATCACTTGAATCTGGGAGGCGGCGGTTGCAGTGAGCAGAGATCACACCAGTGCATTCCAGCCTGGCAACAGAGCAAGACTCCATCTGAAATAAAAACTGCCAGGCACAGTCTCTCACGTGTGTAATCCCAGCACTTTGGGAGGCCAAGGCGGGCAGATCACGAGATCAGGAGATCGAGACCATCCTGGCTAACAGTGAAACCCCATCTCTACTAAATATACAAAAAAAAAAAAAATTGAGCCGGGCGTGGTGGCTGACGCCTGTAGTCCCAGCTACTCGGGAGGCTGAGGCAGGAGAATGGCGTGAACCCGGGAGGTGGAGCTTGCAGTGAGCTGAGATCGTGCCACTGCACTCTAGCCTGGGTGACAGAGCGAGACTCTGTCTCAAAAAAAAAAAATTTTGCCGGGCGCGGTGGCTCAAGCCTGTAATCCCAGCACTTTGGAAGGCCGAGACGGGTGGATCACAAGGTCAGGAGATTGAGACCATCCTGGCTAACCCAGTGAAACCCGGTCTCTACTAAAAAATACAAAAAACTAGCCGGGCGAGGTGGCGGGCGCCTGTAATCCCAGCTACTCGGAGGCTGAGGCAGGAGAATGGCGTAAACCCGGGAGGCGGAGCTTGCAGTGAGCTGAGATCCAGCCACAGCACTCCAGCCTGGGCGACAGAGTGAGACTCCGTCTCCAAAAAAAAAAAAAAAAAAAAAAAAAAAATTTTACTTTTCATGCTTATGTACTTATTTTTTATTTCGACCCTAATTTTGCTGAGTGTGTGTGTGTGTGTGTGTGTGTGTGTGTGTGTGTGTTTTAAACAGTCGCATTCTGTTGCCCAGGATAGAGTGCAGTGGTGCATCACAGCTTACTGCCACCTCCGCCTCCTAGGTTCAAGCGATTCTCCTGCTTCATCCTCGTGAGTAGCTGGGACTACAGGTGTGCCCCACCTCACCGAGCTAATATTTGTATTTTTTAGTAGAGATGGAATTTCACGATATTAGCCAGGCTAGTCTCAAACTCCAGACCTCGTGATCCGCCCACCTTGGCCTCCTAAAGTGGAATCCTAATTCCAGACATGAACCACTGGGCCCAGCCTCAACCCTAATTTTTCATTCACTCATAATACCAAAAGTTATCTCATATACCTCTGAGTGCCTTCTTCCCCAAAACCACCAGTGCCATACCTGCTGTCAGCAAGGGTGTAATATAGTGTAGTGGTAAATATGACCACAAGTCATAAATGACTGTGGGATGTATGAGAATTACAAGTCACATTAGTAAGAAGAGAAAAATTTTGGTCATGGTTATGATTTGAAATATGTTTTCTTTTATCACATTTAGAAATGTAGTTATAAAATGTTCTCTTTTTTTGTCCTGATCCATCATGGTCACTGAGGAGCATTGTCTCATATGCCTGGTGTGTGACTTCTGTCTCTCCAGTGGTAAAAGACTTGGCCTTGGCTGGACACAGTGGCTCACGCCTGTAATCCCAGCACATTGGGAGGCTGAAGCAGGTGGATCACCTGAGATCAGTGGTTTGAGACCAGCCTGACCAATGTGATGAAACCCCATCTCTACTAAAAATACAAAAATTAGCCGGGCATGGTGGCATGCTTCTGTAATCCTAGCTAGTCAGGAGGCTGAGACAGGAGAATCACTTGAATCCACGGGGAGGGCAGAGGTTGTAGTGGGCCACGATGGCACCATTGCACTACTGCGTGGGTAAAAAGAGTGAAACTCCGTCTCAAGAAAAAAGACTTGGCCTTGTGGTGAGGGGAGGTCAGCTCTAGACTCCTGGTCCTGTTTTTGCCTTACTTATTCTCTAAAGACTAAAATATTTCCTGAAATGTATGGGCATTGTTTACTAGAAAGTACCTTAGTTAAAACGTACACGTTCATGTATGCCTTATAAAGCTATATTTTTTCAAATTGCTTTACTGAGACATAGGAGGGTAATAAATTTGTGTAAATATTCTAAATACAAGCCTTTCTTTCTCTGATATTGTGCTGTTGATGCTAACTTGTCAACAGCCTGCTTATCTCAGCAGTGTAAAGTTAACAGCAACGTGGAAAAGTGACTTTTATATATTATTCAATGGCGTAGAACAATCACTTCTCTTAAGGTACTAATGAAGCTTCTCTTCAGAAACCCTTATTTAAAAAAAAACCCTAAGGTCAAAATCAGGCACCAAAGGGTTCAGCATCAATCGTTGACCAAACCCTATTTGTGTTTGGAGATGACATACCCAGTCCCAGATAATGTATCCACATCAGTGAAGGGTGGAATCATTGATTGTCAGATCACACAAAGTGACTCACAGCAGGGAAAACAGGGCAGTGGCAGAGATGGTGGTACCTGACCAGGTGCAGTGGCTCACACCTGTAATCCCAGCACTTTGGGAGGCTGCGGCGGGTGGATCACTTGAGGTCAGGAGTTCAAGACCAGCCTGGCCAACATGGTGAAACCCCATCTCTACTAAAAATACAAAAATTAGATGGGCATCATGGTGTGTGCCTGTAATTCCAGCTACTCAGGAGGTTGAGACAGGAGAATTGCTTGAGCCTGGGAGGCGGATGTTACACTGAACTGAGAATAGGCCATTGCACTCTCCAGCCTGATGAGCAGAGTGAGACTCCATCACAAAAAATTAAAAATAAATTTAAAAAACAGGTGGGTGCACCTGGATCTAACCCCCGTCTCATCCTTCTGCCTTGAAGGCCAAATGCACCCTGATACTTTTCACCGAAGAGTAGAAACACCACCATCCACTTGACCCCAAATGTGACTTTCCACAGGATGCAAGCACAGTGTTGGAATGGCCAATGACAGTAACAATAGAAGTGCAGGGTGAGGGTGATGAACAGGACACACTGGAGAGCCTGACATTGGTCTAGACTGTGGGAGTGTCTTGATCTTTCACAAAGAGCCAAGTAGCAACCCAGAGAGACATTGGAGCACAGTCCCAAAGGGTGTTCATATGCCAGGAAGGCCACTAATTTTGGAAGGCAGTGATGTCAGTGCCTGTTGGAGTCCTGATCCTTCATAACATATGCTTTTCTGCATCTGGTTAGACAAGGAAATCTGCAATTTTTGACTTTCAGCATTTAGAAATAAGTTATTTTAGCAGTCCACACACGTAGTTTATTCTGAACTAACTTGAGACACACAGCTACAGATAGGGAATATCATGAGTATTTCCAAGACTAAAACTCTTTGTGAAGTCAGTGGGACCCTCTCATGGGAGGGTTTTAAGACCACAATCAAAAAAGTGGGGAAACATTAGAGTGGAAAGAGGGCAGCAGAAGGTCAGGGGCCTTCCCCAGAGGCCTAACACACCCAACATCACCCTGGATGAGAACAAATACATACCATAACACCACACTCTCTTCAATGTGTAACAGAGAAAATGAAACGAATTCAAACTAAGCTTTCAGAATTCCGCGTTATATAATTAATAAGGTTTTAATATTACTCTGTGTTGATGTTAAGGAATTATTAAATATGAACAGCATTTTCTGGTTATATATGGAAAATACCTTGATTCATGAGATATGAAAATGCTCATTTTAAGATATGCATGTTTTACTTTTGTGCTTTTTTTAATAAGGTGGAAAAACAGGAAAAAAATTTCAGATCAAGGAAGTTAAGCAGATTAATAGGAGAAAAGTTATACAAATTTAACATGTATATATGGGAGCCTTCAGAATGAAGACCCACCCATCAATAAAACAAAAACTTGTATACCATTCCAGGGTAGGAACGAATGCAGACGTGGCATGGCCAAAAAAATCCCAGGTTTGATGGATAAGTCAGATTTAATAGCAAGACAGATTCTGCAAGAGGAAGGGAAGAAGCTTGGCTAGCAAAGCAGACCTTGTTGTGTAGATGAAGGCTCCCTCAGAGAGAATAGGTGGGAAATTCTGCTTTTCAGACTTTCATTTAGAATTTTAAGTAATAGACACAGGAGTATGCTATGTTGCCCAGCTGCTCTCTAATTCTTTGTCTCAAGCAATTCTCCCAGAGTGCTGGGATTCCAGGCATGAGCCATCATGCTCAGACAGGGTTTGTCCCCTTATAAAGAATTATTCATTGCTGAGCACAGTGGCTCACATCCGTAATCTCAACAATTTGGGAGGCCAAGGCAGGAGGATCACTTGAGCCCAGGAGCTCAAGACCAGCCACAGCAACATGATGATTCCCTCTCTCTACACAGAATACAAAGAATTAGCTGGTTATGGTGGCATGTACCTGTACTCCCAGCTATCCAGGAGGCTGAGGCAGAAGGATAACCAAAGCCTGGGAGGTTGATGCTGCGGTGAGCTGTGATTGCGCCACTGTACTCCTGCCTGGACAACTGAGTGAGAGCCTTTGTTAAAAAACAAAAAAAAGTGTTCATCTATTGCAGCTTCAGATTTTTTAAATGAATTGTAAATTGTATTTTCATTACAATTGGAAAGATAAGAAAATTTTGCACAGAAAAGCCCAGATAAAGACAGATTTCAGGAAAAAATCTTTTGTCTTATATAGCATTAGTTTCAAAATTCTTATTTTTTTCTTTTTTTGAGATAAAGTTTTGCTCTTGTTGCCCAGGCTGGAATGCAGTGGCGCAATCTCGGTTCACTGCAACTTCTGCCTCCCAGGTTCAAGCAATTCTCCTGCCTCAGCCTCCTGAGTAGCTGGGACTACAGGCGCATGCCACCATGCCT